ATCTGCTAGTTCATTATTAATATCCTAATTAAGATAAAGTATGTTGAATGAAAAAGGGATTATTAAAAAATATTATTTCTCATAAAAAAATAATGTTGATCCATACACTTTTCAATATGTCATAAAGTTAAAAATGTAAAAAATAAAATCGAGAATTTTCACACAATGATAGCATTTGGTAGCCATTTTCACCGTGAAGATAAAATAAAGTCCGAAATTTTTTTTTTGCATAATAAAGTATATTACATTAGCTTTAATTTAAGATATATATAAAAGTGTCAGACTTTCCGGAACACTTTCAAAATTTAAGTTGAAAAAGTTCTACTTTCTACATGCATTTTTTAGATTTGAACCCCCCTCGTATATAGGGAAATGGTCGGATTTAAAAAAACAGTATGTCAAATGAAAGATGTATATAAATACTACTCCTCATGAAAAAATTGTACTGATCCATACATTTTTCAAAAAGTTATAGCATAATAAAGTTAAAAATGTAAAATACAAAATCGAAAATTTTCACACAAAAATAGCATTCGGTAGCCATTTTCACCGTGAAGATAAAATAAAGTCCGAAATTTTTTTTTCGCATAATAAAGTAAATTACATTAGCTTTAATTTAAGATATATATAAAAGTGTCAGACTTTCCGGAACACTTTCAAAATTTAAGTTGAAAAAGTCAAATTTTTGTGAAAAAGTTGTCATTTTAAATCCCCCCCTGTAAGCAGGTAAAAAGTCAGATTTATAAAAAAAATATACCAAATGATAGGTAAAGACATCATTCATCTATAAAGAAAAATTATATTAATCCATACATCTTTCAAAAAGTTATTGAAGTTATCGAAGCTAAAAAAAAAACTGAAAATGTCAAAATACGCGGTTTTACTACTGATATGGAGATTTATCAATAAATATATCTTTTTAAGAATATTTAAATGTAACTAAATTTTAGCTTCGATGCGAAGCTGAGAAGGTATTGGTTTTACTATGGTGTGTGTTTTTTTTTTATGTCTGTTACCACTTTTTCTCAGCTCTCACCGAACGGATTTCTTTCAACGATACGTCAAAAGATCACAAATCGTATCTAGTCGAAGACATTACCCTTCAAAATTGAAAAAATTTCCCTCGTTCCCCGTAAATGGGGGAAACCTCCAAAAAAATTACAAATTTAATAATCGCTAATTTTCGAAATTTTTTCAATTTTTTTTACTAAAAACTGCCGTAACTTTTTCAAAAATGAACATATCTGTTGATATTATTAAACAACACACTGAGTACAGTAATATTATTTAAGATAACAGTTTAATGTAGTTTTACTTATGTTAGTGTAGTACAAGGTCAAAGGGACACATTCCTTTTACGATTATGTTGTTTTACTCAATGCAGCCTATTTATTCACAAAAACTTTACTTTTACACATAACTTTTGAAAGTGTTCCAGAAAGTCTGACACTTTTATATATATCTTAAATTAAAACTAATGTAATATACTTTATTATGCAAAAAAAAAATTTTGGACTTTATTTTATCTTCATGGTGAAAACAGACATCAAAGTTTATAAAAAAAATACGATTATTGTAAAAAAATTCNAAAAATGAACATATCAATATAATTTTTTTTTATATAGATGTTTGATGTCTTTACTTATCATTTGGTATATTTTTTTTGTAAATTTGACACTTAACCTGCCCACAGTGGGGGATTTAATATGACAACTTTTTCACAAAAAATTTACTTTTTCAACTTAACTTTTGAAAATGTTCCGGAAGGTCTGACACTTTTATATATATCTTAAATTAAAGCTAATGTAATATACTTTAATTTGAAAAAAAAAAATTTGACCTCTGGACTTGTCTTCGTGGTGAAAGTTGACATCAAAGTTAATAAAAAATTACGATTTTTGTAAAATAATTTTTTTTTATATTTTTAACTTAATAATGCTCTAACTTTTTCAAAAATGAACATATCAATATAATTTTTTTTTATATAGATGCTTGATGTCTTTACTTATCATTTGGTATATTTTTTTTGTAAATCTGACACTTAACCTGCCCACAGGGGGGGATTTAAAATGACAACTTTTTCACAAAAAATTTACTTTTTCAACATAACTTTTGAAAATGTTCCGGAAGGTCTGACACTTTTATATATATATCTTAAATTAAAGCTAATGTAATGTACTTTAGTTTAAAAAAAAAAAATTTGACCTCCGGACTTGTTCA